ACTAAGTTTCCGGGAATAAACTGAAATTACTCAACAAATGCATCGCGCACTGTAAATTCGGACCAAAGATAAAGAAAGTACACAATATAAGGTTGCATAATCCGGGATTTTTAGAAAAAGTTTTTTTTTTTTGGTTGTTCCCCTCTCGCTACCTTAAATACAGTGCCATTCTTCGAAACGGTTTCAAATAGTAAATTCAAATGAACGCAGTTATAGCCTAATCTACATCAACCTTTAGTGCATGATTATTTACATAAAGTTGAAAAAAAACAAGAAATAAAGTCTGAGTAGTTAATGGACCAAGCTCGTTGCTTGCTGCAGCTTATATTTATAGCAATTCCCCCCATATTGTGTTATCGCCTGTTGTGCATGGTAATACATGTAAATGTGAACTTCATGACATTGAATGTAATTAATTTGTAATTCTTATACTATGTGATGTTTGTAGACATAAAGATAGACAGACGACGCTATACAAACATTCAGTAAAATGCGTTATAATTACTAGTCCCAACATTAAGGTTATCAATAATTCCAATCCAGGTTATAGGTCGTCTCACTTGTTTTGTACTAGTGAGTGTTTACAGAGACTGGTAAGCGAGAACCGATTGTTTATAGCAGAAGAAAAAATAAATCGTATTATTCAAAGTACTTAAATTAAAAGCATCATAAGTCTGCTACTCTCGAATTGTTATATCACTTTCTCTCATTTAAACCAAACTAAGCTGTTCAACATTTCTGATTGTGACAAGAATGTCAGTATAGGCACTCCATTGCCTTATTATAGCGTAACTGTTAACAAGCAATAATATGTTCGTGCGCATGCGTGACAGTGATAGATACATACAATTGCGAAAGAACCAAATCGGAAACTCAACTGTTCGCCGCACCGAAACTGCAAGGTATGTTTATAATTGCTGTCTTTTCTGTTATTTAATAATTCGATAACACACGAATGATGAAAACATGTTTTCCCGATATGTGTTGAAGTTGGATTTGAAGACATGGTATTTCGTATATCATGTATATAATAATTATCCTGCCCGATTCACAAAGCAATGATAAAAACGACATGAGGCGTAACTATCATAAACTTGTTTCAAAAATATATGTAAGCCTAATTATTGAATTAAATGGATCACAATGGTACTAATGCTAGTATTACTTTATATCATTAGAGTAAATAAATTAGTATCAGGGCAAGAAATAATAGGATAAAGAGGATAAAGAAGATATGTAAATTCCCTTGACACCAATTCTTAATTATAATAGTAATAATCTTGATTGATGTAAGATAACACGATTCTTTAAATGAATACAATTAATTAAATTAGTCTATAAGAATATGTTACATATCTTTTGAGATATAATTTCAAACTAATAAATAAATAAACACTAGAGCTAGATATTGAGGGTCAATACATCATTGTGTTATTGTTTTCGATATATGCATACCAGTAATATTCCACGCGTTTATTTAATAACATATTACAATTTATTAGAAAATGTTCACTATGAAATATGTTAATTAACTGTCTGTGGTGGACATGATGGTGCATATAAATTAAATGGTAATAATAATGGCAGTAAAGAACGCCGGGTGTTTTTTCATCTACAGACCATATTGTAAATTAGATGTGTAACTAAGCAGAGTAATTGAATATCAAATGAATTCATATCCATATGATAAACCCCAAACGCATGTTATAGTATAATATGTCATATGATGTTTCGTTTAACAATATTAAAATTGATTCTACCAAAACGTAGTGCATATTACTGTGTGGCATATTTTGACATACACCCAAAAATACTATGTGCGTACGGCAATTGAAATCTCTGAGAAGTATCAATTGTGCTTGTAACGAGGTATGTATCACACAGACACTGAGACTTGTGTACAGAGACTCAAATGGATATATGATGTGTCAGTTACACATATGGCGTTGCTTAGAAAGGTGAGATGATGATTCAGATAAACCATCCCGGTTAATGGTACCTGGTGTGAGGAAGTGTCATTGTTTAGATGTAAATCCATTCGTCGGTTATCAATGTGCAATTTGTAATATAACAGACTAACATATGTTAGTTATAGCTGCGTGTTCGACATGGTGCGGTACAGTGATTTCATTACGTCGCCCAAATTGAGTAAAGTGTTGCGATGAAACCTGCTTTCTTCTCGAATATTGATATCAATTCCAGTTCGTGTATAACAGCATGAATTGAGTGATGTAGCTTTATAAATGAGATCACTCGTGCTTGTTCGTGGAAATCTCTAATGTTATATTGGATATTTAGATCGTCGTCATCACCAGTGCAATCTTGTCGCGGATATATTAAATAATTCTGTACAAATTCGTCACATTCAAAAAAGATCGAGACAAATATGTGTGCATTGTATCCATCTAATCTACACCTACCTAGTCATCTAACTAGGGTGGTTGAAATGGTGTGTGTCTCGAGGTGACGGTAATACAATGAACGAATTACGGTGTCATTTATAAAAAAATGTGATTATGTATTTATTTATTACAGTGAATCACATATTATACACATGAGACGTAATTATCTAATTGTATGGTGATAACAGTCCACAGTCAGAGGTTGAATGTATAGCCTAGGGTTAGACGTATTTCACACTGCATGAACAGAAATATAAAAGTGTGTGTGATACGTGCCTCATTAGTCGCCCTGAACTTAACTAGATGAGTATCCAGGTGGTTAATTAATAAGTGTGGGTCATTTATTGGTTGACAAAATAAAATGTGTGACGTCATGGCCAGTATTTAAAAATGCGGCAGCCAGTCTCTATGTGTTGCCGTTGAAAATCGTGTCCAACAAATAGGTGTGCAGACTTTGCGTGGCCCAGAAATGTTGTGAGTGGATCCATACCTCCCATAGCTAAACTCAGCATTTAAAATCAAAGTTTCAAGTCAAACGGGAATGCAAATTTAGTAATACAGTTGTGAATTAGAATGAAATGGCCCTATTGTGGAACTCCAGTCGCTAGCTATGGGAAATTAACTAGGGCCATTCACTCCACACTGCACTGCTATGTTTTACATACTTCAAGAAATCATTCAGTAATTATACCACGCTGTTAATTTATAGCATGTTAATTTATAGCATTCTGTGGTGTGTGTAGTACGTAAATTTGTAGCTTCCACTTCTTACTATCCGTGTATCCCTGTTGGTACGTGTTGAAGGCCGTGTTTAGCGCTGAACTGGTGTTTAGAACATTTCATCAATGGTATGATTTTCACCTTTCCGTAATATAATCAACAACCTCTTGAAGTCTTAGGTTCAGTATGCGCTATATCGTGCTCATTTGTCAATGTAATTTAGTATACGTTGCATATACTTGACGACGTGCAGTTTGAGGGCGCCACACTCTAGGATGAGAATTGAAGTCATTGTATAACTCTAACTATACCTTGAAATAGGAAATTCCTAGGTGGATAGGCGAGCAAAACATTTATTGCATTCATTGTTGAATCTGTCGAATTTAGTTGACGCTAGAAAGACCAGAAGTACCATGGATTGAAGGGTGAATGCCTAGAACGCGTTCTGATTGAATATACAAGCGTATTTCAATTGGCGAAGGCACCGATTGGATAGTATCTAAAAACCGTTGCGTGTTATTACACGTGGCTGATATTTATATGGCTGCGGTGTGACACGTTGCAGTAAACCAAACTTCGGGGTGTGTTTTCTCTGTGTCGGCGATTTGTCTACGCCCGTGTGTCTGCGAATTATCTACTCTGTGTGTCTGAGTTCGACTGTTAAAAGACTATATTTACCTACACGATGTGGAAGGCAATGTAGGCTGACTGCTTCGCCGCCAGTCTACACCTACGTGAATCATAACCGACAGTGAATCGTTGAAGCGTTGAAAGGCTCGAAGACGGTAACTCGGTAACGTGAAATTGTATTGTAATATGCATATACACTCATTATCGGATATCTCCGTTCAGGGCTAGGGTTTATTTTAATGAACTTATATCATGTCAGCCAGCATAGTGTGTCAATGTTTTCTTTTTCACTTATCGTTTGGTTGATGTTACTTATGCATACGTTGCGTATTTTCGTACATAATAAATGTTTATATAATATATTAATTTTGAACCTGTCTCTGCCATCTATATGAACTGGTCGTCTAAATAAAAATGTCCTGTAACACCCATTCTATTCGTACTTGGTCACTTGGTAACCAGGCCTACAATAAGCCGACATAAAGGTTTGGTGACTTTATATCTTGGGAATTCTGGACAATTATTTTTCTAAGACCACATATATTTTCCATTCATTTTCAATATAACCCATTTGAGACAATTGCTAGGAGATTCATCATAGGTTTATTATTCACTATTATATGTGACTTGTTATTCTACTATAATACTAATTGTATCATTCGAAAAGCTTAATAATATCGCTATTATAATAAATGATATAATGTGCAATTCAAAATATGCAATACAATGTGTTCCTACTAGACAATCACCCAATATTTTTTCAGCATAAAATAAGTATACACAATTAATACACTTGCTATACATTTGAAATAAACGGTTACAAACCATAATTTGAAGAATTTTTACTGAGACTACATTGCAAAAACGTTTCCGTATTACTTTAGTAAATACAATACAAACATGCCTTCCTTAGCACATAGACATTTTAAAAATGCAAATTCTATGTAGTTAAATAGTAATACTGCTTGACCCCAATCTCATAAGCTGGCTGATTAAAAGTTAACTTTAAATGCTGTTCTGTTAAAATGTGCAACGAATCTATCATGCCAAGTTCGAAATTTGATATTGCGTTTCCAGTAATATCACCAACCTACACGAATGTATTTTCTATATCATTATTAGATATATATTAACGACATTTTAATGTGAGTTTATTATATATTAACGACAACATATGGATGTTTCAAACTTATCATTAAAACTTGACATTTCGTTCTCTTTTAGAACTAAGTTATGACACTTGAGAAGATGGCGAATAATCTGTCTAATCTCTCTGTTACCAGTAGCGACAACTCTCTCACCATTCCGACTGCGAAACGTGTTCCGAATGAATTAACTATGGCGATTTTCGTTGTCTTTTTCACTTTGATTGTATGCAGCAATATCTGGGTAATGATCGCTGTGGTTCGTCAGTCTAAACTACGTAAATCGTCGACGTGTATGTTCATTATATCACTCTCTATATCCGACCTTATGATGGCGTTTTTCTACATTCCGATGCAAGTGGCTTACGTGGGATTCGGTTTGGCTGGAATGAGTAGCGTCGTGTTGTGTAAGGGAACAGCTTGGCTACAATGGGTTGCTCAGTGCGCCACGATATTTTCGTTAATCGGAATAGGAATCGACCGATACCGAGCAATAGTTCAACCACTTCACCCTAAATTGACAAGAACAGATGCCGCAGTGTGTATTGCTGTAATATGGATTTGTGCCGGCACATATTCTAGTCATCGAATGTACGTATTGGACATAGTTACATTTACACATCCCGTAGGTTTCAATGTGACTGTATCTACATCAGTATGTGCAGTGCCATCTGATAAATATTACTTATTAAGTTATCTTGAAGTTAGTGACTTTCTTGTGATGTACCTAGTTCCACTAATAATCCTCTGTGTGATGTACGCCATAATGGTATCCAGTCTATGGTTCAGTTCCGCTCCAAATGATGAATCCAAACAGAAAAAAAGAAAAGCAGTGAAAATGTTGATTCTGGTCGTAGTGTTATTTTGCATCAGCTGGTTCCCATGGCGATTCTTCTCGCTATACTTTCAAATGACAGACATCACTACAATTCCTGTCAACATTTACATATGGAGTGACGTCATAGCAGCGACTTGTATAACTTTATATCTTAGCAACAGTTGGGTGAATCCATTTCTTTACGCTTATTTCAACCAGAGTTTCAGGGATGAGTTCTATCGATTGTTTTCATGGATATTGAAAAGGAAGTCTAAAGTGACTCCATCGACTGGACAGACATTGACCATCACAACCAACTCTGTTAACAATACACTAACGTGAATCAGAGTGCATCCATCAATGAGTAACTGACCTGTTGAATTTGAACACGAAATATGTTAAATTTAATAATGAAGTAAACATCATTGATTCCGTAACTAATATTGAGATAAATATGATATGTTCATATGTTAAAGTCGTTTTCAATTCAGTTTCTTCCTCGCATTGATATTAGTGAGTTGCCCTTTACAGATGCTCTGCCATTATGAATAGTGTACACTAGGTGCGTCTTTTATTTTATTCTGAATATATACCTGACGAACATGGTTGTGGAATTTAAGGAAATATAATGGTGTTAATCACCAACGAGCTCGCTCAAAATTCACGCAGGCCAAAAGTTCCTTGCCTGGAAAGGACGAAACGATGCAAAAATATAACATATCATGTTTATTTTCATACTTCTGTTTGAATGAAAAAAGGTGATCCACATATCAGTTGATACACTTTAGGCTGATAGAACTACCCATTAGTTTCACGTTATTAAGCTGAAAGACTATGAAAATTCGAATTCACTACAATCGCATAGCGCCTTGCCTATCAAGATCAAGAGCAAGCTGACACATAGCTTACTACTTACTGACACTAGCTGCCATAGATACACTGCTTCAACCAGCTTCAATGAATGCGTACCTACAGTGACTAGGTGAATTTGCAAATCTCTGAAAACAATTTACATGCATATTAGTTATTATAATTGGCAGCCAACAAACGTTTTGAATTTGAGGGCTTGTAGTAATGTTCTTTGCAATAAATCTACATATTAGTCGATACATGAAACGAAAACACTTTCATACTGTATAATGTTTTATTCCATTAATACTGCAAGATTAAATGTGTGGGTGTGGAACAGATTTAACTATCTAATTTGGTATGCGTAGTCATAATACGTATATATCTGAAATTGTAATGGAATTTTAAATATTTATACACTATTCAGTCAAATGTCGTCAAATGTTATAGTATTAATGAACAATATATGAGGAGATAAAATCCATCGTTGCAGTACCGTAGTATACATTACCAAATTGTCGTGTTAAATTTCAAACAAATGTCTATGTACATCAATCAGATGTTACAACGTTGTTATATGATTACACCGCACTTTGAATCAGAACAGAATAGTATGTTTCATTTCGTCATTTAGACAATACAAGCAAGAATAATACAAATATATGTGACACAATCGATACTCATTTTGTCAATTATATAATAATTAAATAGTAAATTATTTTGTTCATTTTGTCTTTGACCATTAAAGTTTATTTTATACATCGCATGAAGTAATTTAGTATCACAAAACAGTATAGTAAAAGTTGTTCCAAAAGTAGAATGTACGGATATTTATTTGTCAGATACATTTTAATCGGATAAATACGCCAGGAGGAAATGTCACAACAAATTATATTTATATTACTCAACTGTACATTTTGCGGTTTAATATATTGTATTGTGTTTAAAGTTTATATCAAGAAGGTGTGGCAAGAACATAGACGAGCGAACGTGCATAGTGTAATTCATGGTGTTTTTTTTTTTGCATTTGTATGGTTGTACGTAGTTTGTCATGGAAAGTGTTCTATGCCAAAACAAATAAGTGTATAATAGCAATTGCGATAACAGACTATCTGAAGTAACTTACTTAAATTGGATTTGGGGGAAAATTTACTGCGACTATTGTTTGGGTCTTTTGAATCCGATATTTTCAACATAATTACGACGGTCATTGTTGTAAAGCAGGCATACGAAGGCGTCATCAATGTTTTAGGTGATATTTTATCTTCGTGACAACGCTTTACCCATAGCTCTGCGTCAGTCGGACAAATTAGAGCTGCTATGACGACTGACAAAGCAAGTTCAGGTAAGACACTGTTATGGTGTATCTGTACCAAAGCATATATGTTCATAATAATGTGTATTGCATTTATATATTTATGACTGTTAAACACGTGATTTTATTGTGATCTGCGCCGATTTATCATTAAATCCACAGTTACAAGGACAAACTACAACAGAGGCAATGATTGAATAAAACACATTTAATTACCATCTAATGCCATCACCTGTCCCATGAGATGTAAAGCACATCGCCTATCGATAATTTAATTAAACTATGCTCATGCTCGGATTAGTTGATATAGCTGCACAATATATATATAGAAATTTAGATTTATTTGATGAAGAAGCCATTGTACCATGGACAACTTTCATTAATTCAAAATATGGAATTGATCTCGTAGATGCCATTCCAGAAAATATGAAGCATAGAAAACAAAGTATTAATGAGATATGTTTATCAATATCAGGTATTTACAAGTTGAATTGGTTACAAAGCAGAATATAAAAATGATCTGAGAAGTATATTGTTTGTTCCCCTGGTAGGTAGAAGAAAATTGAAGAGATTTTGAACCTAGACTTTATACACTGGAAGAAAATGTATAAATGTATAAAGTATTGATGAAAATGTCAGTTGTTAGTAAAATCAGTTTAAACTCCTGCATAAAATTGTTTACACTAATAAGAAACTTCATAAAATAAATCAAGAAAAATTCCCTACAGAGATGTTTTGAACACCCATTTATATGAATGTGAATATACAGTTGGAGATTTGCGTTGTATATAATTCTAGGTGTTCATAGATGAAAATACAATAACAAACCAGAAATTGCAATTGCGGATTGATGAACCGACTCTACGTTGCTGCTTTATTTCTCCTTCGAGCCCTTAGAAACACACAAAATATGGCAGGTGTGGTTTCTAAAATACATGTCATTCATATCAAAACAAGAAAAGGTATTTGCAACATGGCAACCTGTACATAGCAATGGGCCGATCACAATTTTTTTTATCTCAAAATAGAATAATCATAAACTTCCAAAAAATACATGTCAACAAGGAGAAGAAACACATTATCACCTTATACAGTATTTCAACAAGTGGGATGTAAAGGATTACTATTTTGATAAAACATGATAAGGATGACAAAAATCACTCACCTAGAAACACACAAAAGATGGCAAGTGGGGTTAAGGGTCATCACTGGGAAACCCACATGTTTTGGAATGCGCCATCACAGGGGAACTCGGTAAAACATTTGTTTTTGTTAAGTACAATAATTTAAAATAGATAACAAGGTTATATGGGCCTTTGTCACACCAGATGTAAGAAACACTGGTCAAAACTGTAAAATAAATGACCTGAAACCCAACTTTAAGGTTTTGCTCCTTTATATAAAGCGAGTATACCAATGTGAGTTATTTATTGCAAATACAAACAACAAAATGCCACAACGCCAAAAAACACATTTTGTAACATAATTGGAAAAAGGCAAACTGAAAACAAATATATAGAAATTTAACTTTTATAAAACTCTGGAATGTAAACATTGATACGTATGTATAAGATTGCCCAATGTAAAGTCATAAAATACAAAAAAAAGTTCTGCTGTTGTAATTATTCTAACCTGTCCATTAGGACTGTGTTACTTGTATAAATTATTTTGGAGTAACTTATTATTTGTCAGTCAATTGTTTCGAGTTCCCAATTTTGTACATTCTAGTAAGTAGTAGTTGGGAATGACTAAAAAATAAAAAAACAGTCCAGCGAGCACCAAAACTGAATGAAGCAGGTGTGATTTTGTATGCGCGAATATATTATTCTTAATGTATCGATGTCGCATGTACATGACATGCATACTAATCTTACATGTATGTGAATATGGGTGACAGACGTAACTATATTTCAGTTACGTATATCTCAGTACCACCGTTACATAACTATTATGTCATTGAGGCTAAGCCAAATAAACCGACAGGTTTTTCGATTTTTAAAAAAATAATCTCATAATATTGATGTCACCCAAGTAATAAGAGAGCAGTGTCAATTAAAAGTAATATAACAAAGCAAGACAAACCACGACATTTGCCCTATTTAAGTTTTCAGCAATATGCATTCATACCTCCAGAAAATATATTTTTCATGTACACTTACTACGCTTTCAAAAAAGATTGCCTCTCGCGTTAAGGTGCTTTTGTAGTCTGAGCTCTTTTATCACGAGTAATTTTGAAAAGATAAACGCCCGTTTGATTGTTTTTCGCATGTCGGCTTGTAGTTCAGTACAAGACGTTATTTATCATGTACAGCGTATAACATATCACATGACCTATATATATTATCAGAGGTTATTTATTAGACAGCTAATTTTGCCTGCGCAACTTGTTGCAAGAGAGAGTGTCAAATATTATATACCGATGGTTGGCTGGGAGAAGGTAGGTAGTTGTGTAGTGCAATATGATTCCATGTCCATAGAAGCAAATACGTAATTTAATGATCCAAGATAACGATGAATGCGATCTATATAGATTTCACATCTTGTAATTTGAGGTGATTATTTTTTGGCTAAAATATTTAGGATTGTTATTATACTGACGAAATTCCTAGGCAAGACTGAATAATTCCCTTTAATAGAACATGAATAATCGCATAGCATCGTAGCCAGTTTAATATTACTCACTGAGGCCAATGGAGTGCACCCTAAGTGTGTACTCAAATAAAATGTATGGTGGGTGGAATTCCAGACCGTGAATTCTTGGAAAAACCTCACGGAGAGTACGTGGTTATACTTTTAATTCGAAAAACTTTATTGCAGTCGTTATATGGGATTAGTGACAGAATCATTGCCTCCAGAAAAATATAATCGTTATTCATGGCAACCTGTCACTGTATTATATAGTTTCATTCCATCACGCACTGATATCAAATTACACATGCCACAGTGATAGTCTACTTATATGGATATAAGTAATAGGTTCATTTTTTCCAACCTTTCGCGATGATATGAATGAATCAGATCGCAACATTGTTTAACTGTCACCGAGAACTGCATCATTTATCACTGTTGTGCTAGTCTCTTGGGGTAGCGTCAATAAGAAGCATGCCGCCGAAGCATTTGTATTATTCTCGTATATCTCTCCAATCCGTTGACAGGACAATAAGATGTGTGTATTATC